GATGGTTTTCCTTCTGGGCGCCGCCCCTTTCAGGCCCTGCGAAGCGTTCCGAGAGGGCCCCCAAAAGGTTCCCAAGACGGTCCAAGATGGCTCCCAGTCGTCGAATGATCGGTCCAAGAAGCCCGATGTGGCCTTCAGATGGCACAAGACGCCTTTCAGACGCCCCAAGAGGCCACCAAGAGCCCTCCCAAGAAGGCCCCAATAAGCAAACAACACATGGATGTCCTTCCGTTTTTTGCAAGGATTTGAATCGGCCCCAGCGGGCCCGAAAACAGCCCAAGAGCCCTCCAAGACAGCCCAAGAGGACCCCAAGAGAGCTCCCAGAGCGGACCCTGAGCGGGCACCAGAACGGAGGCTCGCAAGAGGCCCCGAAGAGGCCCCAGGAGGTCCCACACATACCGTTAAGGAGGCCCCCGAGAGGCCTCCCAAGAGACCCCAAGCAGCCTGCCAAACAAGCGTCTTGTCCACGGTCAAGTTTGGCCCCACAATGCCCCAAGGAGCGTTCGAGAGGCCGCCTCCTCAACCTCATCCTCCCCTCCTCCTCCTCCGCCTCTTCTCCTCGTCCTCCTCTTCATTTTCGCTCGCCACGAGTATCCCTGACGAGTCTGACCCACAACGCACGCACAACGGTGGGATGGGTTCCAGGCGCTCTTCGATGCGCCCAAGATGCGGCCCAGATGCCCAAGATGGCTTCCAAGACGGACCTGCAAGGCTACCAAAGCCGCCAAGATGGTCGAATATGCCTCCAAGACAGCCGAAGAGGCCCCAAAGAAGCCCCAACTGCGCTCTAAGGGGTTCCCCAAGAGGGCTCACAGAGACAACATTCAATGATTTTGACTTTGTTCTTCAACGCTTTTCACGCTATCGCCTCTTCGAGCATCCGAAGCTCCACGATGGCCCCAGGCCAAGACAGCCCAGGAGAGCCCAAAAGGCCCCAAGGCGGGCCCGAGAGGGGGAACATGAACCGACAACTCGAGCCTTGCGCCCGAAGAGGCCCCAAGGAAAGGAAACCCCACAAGGCTTCCAGGGCGCGCGGTGTGGGCCGGCGGAATGAGCGAAGCGATTCAACAATTCTTGACGCTTCGCGTATCCCCACCAGCCCATCCAGAAACGATGTCCAGGCAAGTTGAAGAGATCAGGGAAGTGGGGGAGCAACGAGAGGGACAGCCGATCCGTGCAAAGGATGAGGCGGAAGAGGAGGCCAGATGGATAGATGAGGGGGTGGCGAGGAACCGAGCGAAGGAGGGATGAGGAGAATGATGACGCTGGGTGATGGTTGAATGCCGCTCGGATGCCTCTTGGAAGCCTTTTGGAAGCCTCTTCGGGCGTCTTGGGGGTCTCTTGGCGGTCCATGGGGGCTCTTGGGCGTCTTGGGTGCTTCGGGGGGGCCTCTTGAGGCCGCTTGGGATCCTCTTGGGGGGCTCTTGGGGGCCTGTTGGAGGCCTCTTGGGGCCTCTTGGGGGTCTCTTGGAGCTTCATGGCGGCCTCTTGGAGCCTCTTGGAGGCCTCTTGGAACCATCCTGGGAGCCTCTTGGAGCCTCTTGGGGGCTTCTTGGGGCCTCATGGCGTCCTCTTGGGGCCTCTTGGAGGCCTCTTAGAAGCCTCTTGGGGGCCTCCTGGGCGCCCTTTGGGGCCATCTTGGAAGCGATCGATCAAAGAAAGGGGGTTCCCTAATTAACCCTGCCCCTAGGGAGCTCCCAGAATAGCCGCCTGGACCCCTCTTGGGGCGCTCTTGGGCGCTCTTGGGGCCGTCTTGGGGCCCTCTTGGGGCCTCCTTGGCCCCTCTTGGAGCCATGTTGAGGCCTCAGATGGCCATCGGAAGCGAAAAGGCGAGAAGCCGAAAATCATTTGTTTTCCTTAGGTGTTTGAAGGATTGTGGCTTCTTGGGGGGCCTCCTTGGGGAGATAATTGGCCTCTTGGAGCTGTCTTGGAGCGTTCTGATAGCGTCTTGGAGCATCTTCGGAGCCATCTTGCGGCATCTGAGGCTATCTTGAGCCATCTTGGAAGTCATCTTGGACTATCCGAGGCGCTCATGGAGCCATCCTGGGCCATCTTGGACACTCTGACCGCTCGCGACTGGGCCCGTCCAGATCCAGGGGAGGGGGTTAGGGGGAGGGGTAAACCCCTCCCCTAAGGGGAAGAAGGGAAGATGGAAGAGGAAACTCCCTAAACCACCTACGCCCAGAGGGCTGGTGGGATTCCATATCGGGCCAGCCTGGTGGCGTCTCTTGTCCCAGACGCCCAACCGTGGCGCGGGGACGCCGGCAGCTGGGGTTACGTAGGGCACGGTCCTGCATGATTTTCCGTCGTGGGTCAATCCCCTGGCTCCGAGGCCGCCTAGATGACGCTAAAGAGCAGCCACACTTTGGCAATCTCATGTGAACACGCTGCTCGGCATTCGGTTCCCAGCGATGTTGCAACGGCGCGGCCTGCACGGTCCTGCTCGCGGCCGTTTCGTGGGGATGTCTCAAGCGGTTTGCCTGTTCTCTGTCCCAGCATCCTTCGCTTTCGGAGCAGATTTGGAGACTGGCCCCCCAAAAGACGGCCCCCGAGGCGCCAAGACAGCAACAGGGATCCCCATGATTCGCTGGTCCCTATAGTTGGGTGTTGGCGTGCCAGACGTGCTAGACTTAATCCCACCAGCCCTCTGGGCGTAGGTGGTTTAGGGAGTTTCCTCTTCCATCTTCCCTTCTTCCCCTTAGGGGAGGGGTTTACCCCTCCCCCTAACCCCCTCCCCTGGACCTGGACGGGCCCAGTCGCGAGCGGTCAGAGTGTCCAAGATGGCCCAGGATGGCTCCATGAGCGCCTCGGATAGTCCAAGATGACTTCCAAGATGGCTCAAGATAGCCTCAGATGCCGCAAGATGGCTCCGAAGATGCTCCAAGACGCTATCAGAACGCTCCAAGACAGCTCCAAGAGGCCAATTATCTCCCCAAGGAGGCCCCCCAAGAAGCCACAATCCTTCAAAAACCTAAGGAAAACCAATGATTTTCGGCTTCTCGCCTTTTCGCTTCCGATGGCCATCTGAGGCCTCAACATGGCTCCAAGAGGGGCCAATGAGGCCCCAAGAGGGGCCCAAGAGGGCCCCAAGACGGCCCCAAGAGCGCCCAAGAGCGCCCCAAGAGGGGTCCAGGCGGCTATTCTGGGAGCTCCCAAGGGGCAGGGTTAATTAGGGAACCCCCCTTCTTTGATCGATCGCTTCCAAGATGGCCCCAAAGGGCGCCCAGGAGGCCCCCAAGAGGCTTCCAAGAGGCCTCCAAGAGGCCCCAAGAGGCCGCCATGAGGCCCCAAGAAGCCCCCAAGAGGCTCCAAGAGGCTCCCAGGATGGTTCCAAGAGGCCTCCAAGAGGCTCCAAGAGGCCGCCATGAAGCTCCAAGAGACCCCCAAGAGGCCCCAAGAGGCCTCCAACAGGCCCCCAAGAGCCCCCCAAGAGGATCCCAAGCGGCCTCAAGAGGCCCCCCCGAAGCACCCAAGACGCCCAAGAGCCCCCATTGACCGCCAAGAGACCCCCAAGACGCCCGAAGAGGCTTCCAAAAGGCTTCCAAGAGGCATCCGAGCGGCATTCAACCATCCACCCAGCGTCATCATTCTCCTCATCCCTCCTTCGCTCGGTTCCTCGCCACCCCCTCATCTATCCATCTGGCCTCCTCTTCCGCCTCATCCTTTGCATGGATCGGCTGTCCCTCTCGTTGCTCCCCCACTTCCCTGATCTCTTCAACTTGCCTGGACATCGTTTCTGGATGGGCTGGTGGGGATACGCGAAGCGTCAAGAATTCTCATCCAACTCCTTGGCTTGGGCTCTCCAAGCCTCGCCCCAAGCCCTTCGCCTCCTATCGCCCAATGCGGAGCCCACTGCCCTGATGGCTCAATATGGCTGCAAGAAGGTCAGAAGAACGGCTCAAGACTGAAGACAGTCCAAGAAGGCTGCAAGACAGCCAAAGATGCCTACACGGCACCCAAACAGCCTGCAAGAGGGGCGCAAGAGGCCTTAAGTACGCCCCGAGCGATGCCCAAGCAGGACGTTTGACAGTGCCTCCCAGGTGTTTCGGCCCAAGATGGTCCCAGGAGCGGAGGAGGGGGTCCAAGAGGGCCCTGGAGGGTCCCGAGAGGCCTGCAGGGCAGCCCAAGACTGCCTCAATGACGTCTCGAGATGGCCCAAGAGGCGGCCAAGATGGGCCGACCGGCCCCCACAGCAGGCCCACGACTTCAAGACGTCACGAGCGCAGCGTGGGATGCCCTCGGGACGGCCCAGGGTGCCCCCCCCCAGAGGCACGAAGACGCCCCCCCAAAGACGGGCCCCCTCAGGCGCCAAGACAGCAACAGGGATCCCCATGATGACCTCGGAAGGCCACGGAGACGCACGAGAGGAGCCGAGAGACTCCAGCATGATGGACAACTTGCTCAACCCTCAATGTTCGCCCAGTGGTTCCAAGACCGGCCGGGGGAACACTGAGCCCGATTGGCTGTTCACACTTGGGCTCAACGCTGAACCACATAAGCGTTTCGAGCGGAAGCGGGGGGCGGCAGTGGCTCGCAGGAGTGCATCGCTGCTGCTACTGACTGCTCTTATCATTCTCTCCTCCACCTTCCCTTCCTTCCTCCCCCTCCTCCTGCGCCCTGCCGCCCACCCTGCCTCCCCTCCTTCCCCTCCTCCCTCGCCACGTTCTCCCCCTCCTCCCCCTCCTCCTCCTCCCCCTCCTCCTTCCCCTCCTTCCCCTCCTTCCCCTCCTTCCCACCCTGCCTCCCCTCCCTCCCCTCCTCCCTCGCCACGTCCTCCAATCCCCTCCCGCCCGCTGCCGCCCCCTCTTGTCTCCCCGTGCGTCTAATCTGGCCAACCCTTCCCGCTGCTCCCTTTTCTGTGTGTCGTCCTCCTCCTCCTCCTCCTCCTCCTCCTCCTCCTCCTCCTCCTCCTCCCTGTACTTCCGTGCCGCTCTGGCCCTCCATCCCTGGGTAAACGCCAGTGCGCTTGCAGAACGCTCCGCGGCGGACATCGTGGGCGCCTCCTGCATCTTCTCCTCCTCCACGCGCTCTTCCTGAAGCGGCCGGCGAAGCACGAGCGCAGCAGAGAGAGAGGGAAGCGGCATGAGGAGCGGGGAGGACAGCAGGGGGGAGGAAGGAGGAGGAGGAGGAGGAGGAGGAGGAGGAGGAGGAGGAGGAGGAGGAGGAGGAGGTGGCAAAGGGAAGGGGAGAGGGATGGGGGGAGGGGAGGGGTGGAAGGCAAGCTAGGTTCGCTCGCGCCACATCTGTCATCCTACCCCTCCCACCCACCCCTGCCCGTGGAGCTGTTTTCCTAATTCATTCGCGGGCGGGCGTCATAGCGGACCTGGACCCCCCAACTGACACCATCGTGTCATGCGCAATCCTGAAAAGGGGAGCTTTGCACGTCTGAGGAGGGAGACGAAGAAATGGCGGACGAGCAGGAGGATGAGGGTACGGAAGAGGAGGAGGAGGCGGAGGACTTGGAGGAAGAGGGGGATAACGAGGAGGAGGAGGAGGAAGGAGGGCGAGGAGGAACACCAGCAGCAGGAGCACAAGTGCGAGGAGTGGGATGAACAGGAGGACCAGGGAAGGCAGAAGGGGGACAGGAGCACGGCGACAAAGATGAGGATGGACTCGGATCAAGAACAGTATCCCGTGCTGGGGCGAGAGCGACATTCTGAACGGCCAGAGCACAACACCGATCCACAAGTTGAGGCCCACGCTGCAACGGTAACACCATTTTTTCAACAACGATTAAACACCGAACGCGTCTCGATTGAAACATCCATAGGGACAATCATTGTGTGAAACCCTGTATACCAAACAATACACGGAGAGGGAGGGATACTTTCAGAACGCAGTCGGGGGAGAAAGGGGAGTACACTTCATATTGAGTACTGATGATGGGACGGGCTCTGGCCCCACGATGTCCCGAGACGGCCCCAAGAGCCCACGAAGGCCGAAACACTGCGGAGGAGGCGAGCCATGAACGAGGAAGGGCCTGTCCTGCCGCGTTCACGCCAAGCGCCGTGTATCGAATCGGCGCGTACACATATATACGCAATCTTGACCACCTGCCACGCCACTCCAAACCAAGTCGACGTGAACTTTTTGGGATCGTGGATCTCCGGTGGGGGGGGGGACCCCAGAACATGGATTGAGGAAGCACTTAGGAACCCATACACCCCCCAACCCGAAATTTACGAAGGGAAACTGGGACACACAAATAAATACACACAAATAAACAAATTCCCCATATTTTCCTATATTTTCTAGGTTTTTGTCTTCCCCACCACTTCCCATATTTTCCCATGTTTTCCTGGGGATCGGCGATTAATTGTGTCTGTGTGTCTTTTTCCCCTCCTGTGAATTTAGGGAGGCCTGGGACCTTCGGGCTGGGTTGGGGTGTCTTGGCAAGTCGTGCATCCAAGATCGCAAGCCTCGAGGCTCCGACGCCAAGCCCTTCTGCTCATGCTGGTGGGGACCTGCACGCCCACTGGTCCACTCTCGCTGGCTCCTCCTCCTCCCTCCTCCTCCTCCCTCCTTCTCCTCCCTCCTCCTCCTCCCTCCTCCTCCTCCTCCTCCTCCTCCTCCCTCCTCCTCTCTCCTCCTCCTCCCTCCTCCTCCTCCTCCTCCTCTGCGCCGGCCCCTCTTCCGCCCTCTTGTCCACTCTGCGGCCCTCGCACTCGCACCCCTGAGGAAACCAAAAGGTACAAATACCGGGAGCGGCCAAGAGGGGGGCGTCCAAGAGGGGGGGTGCAAATCATGACTGGCGGCATGTGCGCGGCCCAGCGGGGGAGCCAGGGACGTAATGAAGTAAGAAGAGGCGCCCTGAAATCTGGGGAAATATCATGGCCCCCGCCATGATATCCCCCCCCCCCTCGTCATCACCCCCCTCTTTTCCGCCCCTGAAAATGCCGCTGCTCCCCGGACCTCCCCCGGGAGGGGTTCTGCCCAGCATGTCGAGGCGAATAATCCAGCAGTGGCGACGGGGGCCTCCTAGAAGGAGGAGGTCCACGAGAGGGGCAACCGCGGGAGGGGTAGCAGTCTGGGTACAAACGAGGGAGGGAGGGAGGGAGGGAGGCAAACGAGGGAGGGAGACAAAACGAGGGACAAAAGGGCGAGACAAACGAGGGAGGGAGGGAGGGAGGGACTTAAGAGGGAGACAAACGATGGAGGGAGGGAGGGGGCCAAACGAGGGAGGGGTTTCTCCTCCGACGCGCCCCATCCTTCGTGATCAGCCCCATCCGTGCGCCCTCCGAGCCGAGCTGCCCGTCCCGCTCTCCCCTCAGGAGGCAACCTAACTGGGAGGTCTTCGTCGGAAAGAGGATGGAGGATGGAGCCCCATCTGGGAGCCGTGACGCCGGAAAAGGCCTCGGACCAAGCAGGATTGAGCCAGATTGAGCGGGATGAAGCGGGATGAAGCCGGATGAAGCGGGCTTCCGCGGGATTGAGCCGGAGTTCGGACCAGGGCGAAGAAACATCCTGACTACATACCAGACCACCCCAACCCAACCCCAAGACCCGAATTTCGGGTTGGGGGGGCACGGGTTCCATACGTGTTTTCTCAATGTTCCCCGACCCCCCCCCACTGGAAATGGAGGGCAAATTGAGACCTTCGGGTTGGGTTGGGGTGGTTTGGTGGGCGGTGGCATCCGCTCTCCCCCTCGGCTGCCTCCACGGCCCCCGCCGCCCCGCGCCCCGCGGACACCCCACCCCCCCGTGCCTCCGCCTCGGTCCTCCCTCCTCGGGTGCGTGCAGCCAATCCTCCTCCTTGCTCCTCCTCCTCCCTCCTCCTCCTCCCCCTCCTCCTCCTCCTCCTTCTCCTCCTCCTCCTCCTCCTCCTCCTCCTCCCAGGAGCTGCATCCGCTCTCCCCCCTCGGCCGCCTCCACGGCGCCCCCGCCGCCCCGCGCCCCGCGGACACCCCGCCCCCCCCCGTGCCTCCGCCTCGGTCCTCCCCCCCCCCTGCCGTGCACGGGTGTGCTGCGCCCCTCGGAACCGCTGTCGTGCGCGGAGGGGGCCCCTGCTCCCGAGAAGCGCCAGCGCCTGGCTGAAGGGGCCCTGGGACACACAAATGAGTGAACACGAATCATAAGATTCCCAATATTTTCCAATATTTTCGGGGTGTTTCTCTCCCCCCCACCCACCTCCCATAGTTTCCCACATTTTCTGGGGAATCGACGATTCATTGTGTCTGCGTGGTTTCCCCTCTTGGCTGGCATGTCCCGTTATCTCTCGGCGGCGGGCGAGGGGGGGAAGCGAGAAGGGGAAGGCCTTCTCGGAAGGCGGCGGGACTTCTCAGAAGCCCTCGCGCCTTCTGAGAAGTTCTGTTTGTCTTCGGGGAAGGCTGAGAAATCTTCACATAAGGCCAGAAGACTTCCGAAACATCTCAGGAGGCCTTCTTCTTCTTCTCCATTCCCCCCCTCGCTCGCCGCCGAATCTCTCCCAGTGGATGGAGAAACGACTGAGGAAGGGGGAGCGAGATAACCTGGACGCGATACACATCCATGGATGTCGCTCCTTCATCTTGCGCTGGATCTCCAAGACCTTGATCATCTGCGCTTTCCTCTCTTTCTCTGCCTCCAAGGCTGGCCGCGGGAACCGTCGAAACGCTCTCCGGGACGTAGATGTGATCGACACGCGAAGTGAGACGAGGCGTGCAATCAAAGACATGCATGCGTGTGAGAAACGGGCGCGCAGGAAGTTGAGGCTGCCGATGCAAGCTAGGCGCAAGGAGAAGCAGAGGGAACCGTGACCTTACTGACAACCTGGTGGGCGAAGCGGGGAACAGGGCCGTTTGTGTGTGTACGGGGAAATGACTTGCGAAGGGCTCGAGACGCGACCCTGTGCCACCTAACTTCGTGGAACCAGCCGGCGAGTGTTCGACCACATGGCGCATGCCGCTAGTTGAAAGGTCCCCCCATCAGCTCTTGCGAAGGTATATTTACTATTTACTATATACAAAGGTCACTGGCTGGTGCACAGGACGTGCCGACCCAGCCGTCGCGCGCATGCAAAAGGGGGTGCGGCGCCGTTCCAGCTGCAGTGACACACTACGGCCAAGATTGCAATCGCCGGTGCAACTGGTGAGCCCTTGCGCGGGGGAGGTATAGGGCAAACCTGCAAATTTCTGCGCGGGCGGGCGGCTTGGACAAGTCACACTTCAGCGGCAATCATCTCGCCAGGCATGTCCAGTGGGCCTCGGGAGCAGCAGATGGCAACCGAGGGCCAACCAATGTCCCACGGAGAAAGCTTTATTCATGCCTGCCTGGACCTGAGCGCTGCTGGTGTCTCCCAATGGGGCTCTTGCGCAGGTCGGCGCCCGCCCACTGGGTGTAGTCCATACCTGCGAGGGCTCCCGCGCGGCGGGAAGGGCGTGCCCCTCGTGCCTCCACCTTGCTGCACACCAGGCGGCCCGGCCACCAGCCTCTGCAGGCCGTGCACGCGTGCCCCTCGCGGGGAGACCACGAGCATGGCTCAGGCCTGGGCTCATTGGTGGCAGGGGCTCTTGCCGTCGCTCGGACGTCCATTTCCTGTGCATTTGTCGGTTTCGTGCGTGTTTTTTTTTTTTTTTTTTGCTCGATAGTCCAGGATGGCCCTCGATGGTTTTCGCAAAGGAAAGATGCACACGTCCGAGCGATGCCAAGGGCTCCAGGAGGCACTGCCAGAGGGCCACCCGCCGTCCCGCCAGCACCCTTAAGCTTGCCAGCGGGATGCGCTCGCATCGAGGGAAGGGTGTCGGGCCCGCTCTGGTGCTGGCGCCGGCTGCTGCCTGAAGGCCCAAGGGGGTCTGCGAGGGAGCCAGGCGAGCAAGGGCAGGACGAGACTGGGTGAGCGCAGCAGGGCACGACTGGGGCCTCTCAGGGTACGCCCAGGGCGTACCCTTGTTTGCCCGCGTGCTCCCATCCGCCCCACCAGGAGCCATCGCGCTCGTGGCCGCAGTGCCCGCGTGGGTGGCTGCAGGGCAGGCGGCAACCAGCCGCTCCGCCTCCCGAGCCGCAGGACCGCGCACACCTCCACACGCGCGACGGGGACCTCACCCAGGCCGTGGAGCCCGCAGCCACAGCTGCATCGGGGGGGGGGGGGGAGTCGTCTCGTCCAGATCCAATGGGTGCGCAAGCTGAGGGCCGGCCGCCGCTGCGCTGCTCACTGGGCGGCCGCGATCATCTGCGCCTGCCGCGCAGGACTGCTCATGCCACTGCCCCCCCTCCAGGGACCAAGCAGCCGATCTTTTGGGTTATTTGTTATTTGTCGTCGAAGATCCCCCTGTATGGGGGACACGCCCGATGTAACTCTCGCCTGGCGCCAGGGGGCCGCACTCCCTGGGGGAGGGCCTGGGTCCCACGGCGGCTCGCCCCGCGGCCACCCGCGGTCCAGGTCCCTCGGAGTGCGGCAGCCTGCCTGCCTTCTTTGTTCTTCTGAGGCCTTCGCTGCGGCAGCGCAGGGCTGGAAACCCGCCCAGCCTCCTCCCCTATCGCAAGGCGGGGGTAGAACGGCCAGGGGCCGCACTCTCTGGGGGACAGCCTGGGCCCCACGGCGGCTCGCCCCGCGGCCACCCGCGGTCAATGTCCCTCGGAGTGCGGAAGCCTGCCTGCCTTCTTTGCTCTTTGGCGGCGCGCACAAGGGGGTAGGGGGAGGGGGGAAGGCTTCTTAGAAGGAGGCCGCTTCTTAGAGGGCGCGGGCCTTACATCTACAGACAAGGCCGGCGCCTTCTAAGAAGCAGGGGTGCTTCTAAGAAGCCTTCCCCCCTCCCACTACCCCCGTCTGCGCGTTGCCGAGCTCTTCTGAGACCTTCGCTGCGGCAGCGCAGGGTTGGAAACCCGCCTAGTCTCGAAACGGCAGGGCCGTTTTTTTCACCGTTCCCCCAAAAAGTGCCCCTTGAAAATGGAAACGGCTAGAAAAAACGGCGACCGGAAACGGCAAAAAACGGCTCCAGGATTGGAACCGGAGCCGGAACCGGTAAAACAACGGCGACGGAACCGGTAAAACAACGGCGTTGGAACCGGCAAGAAAACGGCAAAATGGAACCGGTGAAAAAACGGCCCTGTCGTTTCCAGGGTCCACTACTGCTTGCGTACTCGCTCTGCCTCCACTGAGGCTTCGCCCATCCAGTGGGTGTAGCAAGTGTCGCAAGCGAGGCTGCGCGGGTGCTTCCATCGTGCACATCTGCCGCCCACTTGCCTGTGGATGCCAGCGGCGGATAGAGGTCCTCACGTTCTCTTTTCCACCTGGTGTGAAGGGGTACGCAATGGCCAGCGGTAAAGACCAGGCATCGATATATGCTTATATATCTCTATATATACATATATTTATATATTCTCACAACACAGACACACGCATGTATGATTATATAACGGTGTGCGACATGCAATGGAACTCACACTCGCATGCATATATGCACATATAGAGACAGGTGCACAAAGGAACACAGCACGCATGCACGACGACGGTGACTACAAGCGGGCCAGCGGGTCCAGGCACATCCACGCGGCCGCGAGCTCACTCGCAAGGGGGCACGCGGGGGGGGGGGCGAGCGCGCCAACCTCTCCCTGCCCGGCCGCTGGCAGAGCGCACCCTTCACCCATTCGGGGCGGCTGCGCGCCCCCCGGGTGTCTGCCGCGGGCCGACAGCGCCTCCTTCTCCAGCTTCTCGCGCTCGATCTTGGCGAGGTAGCCCTGGGGCGCGGGCTCGCGGCAGGCCAAGGCGGCGCGGCGCGGCCAGCCGACACCCAATGGGTACCGCTGGCCATCGCTCGGACGTCCATTCCCTGTGTTTTTTCCCAACCATCCTGTGGTGTTGGGTCCTCGTTTTGAAGAGACGGTGCCCCGCGTTCCTCTCCTCCTCCTCCTCCCCATCCTCCCTCTTCCCATCGTCATCATCATCATCATCATCGTCGTCATCATCATCATCATCAGCATCAGCATCAGCATGAGCATCAGCATCAGCATCATCATCATCATCATCATCATCATCGTCATCATCATCATCCTCCTCCTCATCCTCATCCTCATCCTCATCATCATCATCATCATCGTCATCATCATCATCACCACCACCACCATCATCATCATCATCGTCATCATCATCATCATCGTCGTCATCATCATCATTATCATCACCATCATCATCATCATCATTATCATCATCATCATCATATTCATCATCATCATCATCATCATCATCATCATCATCGTCATCGTCACCCCGCCCATTTCGGCACACCCCTCACACGTTTCGTGGCCCCATAGGGAGCTCCACCGAAGGCCCCAGTGGCAGGTCCGCATGCCTCCCCACCACCCATTTCGGCACACCCCTCACACGTTTCGTGGCCCCATAGGGAGCTCCACCGAAGGCCCCAGTGGCAGGGTCCGCATGCCTCCCCACCACCCATTCGGCACACCCCTCACACGTTTCGTGGCCCCATAGGGAGCTCCACCGAAGGCCCCAGTGGCAGGGTTCGCATGCCTCCCCACCACCCATTTCGGCACACCCCTCACACGTTTCGTGGCCCCATAGGGAGCTCCACCGAAGGCCCCAGGTGCAGGGTTCGCAGCCTCCCCACCACCCATTCGGCACACCCTCACACGTTTCGTGGCCCCATAGGGAGCTCCACCGAAGGCCCCAGTGGCAGGGTCCGCATGCCTCCCCACCACCTATTTCGGCACACCCCTCACACGTTTCGTGGCCCATAGGGAGCTCCACCGAAGGCCCCAGTGGCAGGGTTCGCATGCCTCCCCACCACCATTTCGGCACTCCCCAACACCCATTTCGGCACACCCCTCACACGTTTCGTGGCCCCATAGGGATCTCCACCGAAGGTCGGGGGGAGCTTGAGACTCTGGTGACACATGCGTTGGCACGTCTGGGTGGCTATCGGGTGGCTGGAACCGTTGGGGTCATCCGTGGAGAATGGGCTGTGGAAGTCGCTTCTGAGGGCCCTGCCACTCCATCTCACGGTCCAAATCTACGGGCAGAGCATCAGGTTCGACCCTTCTGCTTCCAACTCAGGGCGTCCCCAGTATATGAAGTGCGTCACCCGTACCTTGTAATTTTGTTCTCTATGAGTCCATGCAGTTCGTGTTCTTCGTGCTCCCAGACCACCATTCCCGGGTTACACTTTCAGTGTCTTCGTCTCATATCCGTGCGGTACTCGCAGCTGCATATGGTTGGGTCCTTCGCCAGGCTAATTTCGGTTTCGTGCATGGTTTTTTCGCCATTTGATCAAGGATGCTCCTCGATGGTCCTCGCCGAAGGAAAAATGCACACGTCCGAGCGATGCCGAGCAATTGGTACCGATGCCGCCACTCCCGGGGCCTCTCCCGGGAGGCGTCTGGGCGAGAATGTCGCGGCGGCTCCAGCGGTGGCGACGAGGGCACCCCCAGGAAGCCGACACAAGGGGAAGTCGGGCGGAGGACAGCGGCACAGGTGCCCCTTGCCGTCTCCCCTGAGCACGGGGCCTCCTCCGGCGCCATCGCAGCAGCAAGGACCAGATCCGTCCGCGCCCGCGAAGAGGCCGCTGCCCAGGCCTCCGCGGCTGGGCTCCGGCCCACGCCCTGATATCGCAGCCACGGGCGGAGCGGGGGCAGCGGGAGCAAGGCGGAGTGCCGCACGTGGTCATCCCCCCCGCCCTCTTCCGTGCTCTCCTCGGCCTCCCGCCCCTTCGCGTGCGCTGCGCTCTCGTCCCCATCCCGTCCCGCGATTTCCCTCCCGCTCCCCTTCCCCCCCCACTCCTCTGCCCTCCCCCTCTTCTCGGTCCCCTACCTGGGGCAACTGTCGTTGCGCGTCGCGGTCCGCGGAGCGCGATCATCTTCGCGCCTTCGCGCCGCCTGCCCTCCCCAGAACAAGATGAGGGACTCGCGCCTCGCTTTGACATCGCCCAGGCCGCGAAGCGCGACGAACTTCGCACCCTCGTGGTGGCCCTAGCTTCCAGTCGCCCTCTCCCCCCTCCCCTGGCATTCAGCCCCGCTCCACTGCTTCACCTGCCCGTTGGCCGTCTGAAGATGCCCGGCGGCCTCGTGCCACAGCTTGTCGTAGAACTCGTGGTGTCTCTTCTCCTCTTCCGCGCGCGCAGCCTGCTGGGTGCTGGTCTGCCGGTCTGTCGGACGACCGTCGTCGCCGTCGTCGTCGTCCGTCGGTCGTCGCCGTCAGTCGTTGTCACTGTTCGGCGTCGTCGTCGTCGCCGACGGTCGTCGTCGTCGTCGTCGTCGTCGTCGTCGTCGTCGTCGTCGTCGTCGTCGTCGTCGTCTCCCTTCGTCGTCGTTGTCGTTGTCGTCAGTCGCTCGGTCGCGAAACTCCCCGCCGGCGAAAGGTATGTTCGGAGGAAAACTGCTGGGAGGTTTTTTCGTCTGAAGGACTAGGGAGGATTTAAGCCCCGTTGGGGGGCTCTTACGCCAGAGTGGGCCTCGGATCCAACCACTGGGAGGTTTTTTCACCGGGAGGACTGAGGAGGATTTAAGCCCCGTTGGGAGGCTCTTGCGCCAGAGTGGGCCAGAAGAACGTCCATCAAGAACACGAGAAGAACATCCTGGGGTACCCTGCCCCAGGATGCACAAGAACACCCAGCAGGCACGAAGAACTCTAGGGCACCCTCCCCGAGCCGGCCTCGATCTTATGCCTCGGTCTGGCCGCAGCGACCACACGGCGAGGCGGCCCGGTCCAGAGCGGCCTCGAGGGACGGCGAGCTGGTCGTTCTCATCCTGGGGCGGCCACGGCAAGTTCGTGCTGTGCCGACCCCGGCGTTGGTTCCGGACACCGCGGGGATCGTTCAACCTTGAACGACCGGCCGTCTCCGAAACTCAAGAAAGGTCAGCATCGACCGATTCTGGGTCGCCAGCGGCGTTCGAAGTTGAGCGCGGGCGGCGGAGTCCCCGCCAGTCGACACGACGCGAACCTACTGTACCGATGTTGGCAGGGGGGCGTCCAGATGGATGCAGTCCGCCTGGAGCCTCCAGGATCTGGAACGGGACCTCCGAGGAGCCCAAGATGCTTGAAGGTGTCAACCACATCTATCACCCGTGGCTTTCGAGTCAATGCAGTAGGAGCTCGACCACAAACCCAATCCTCAGCCTGAGACTCCAGGATTTTCATTGATTTTTGGTGTGGGAACGTCATGCTTTCCATCGCAAAACCGTCGAAGCCCAAGAAACCCAGGGCACCCTGGAGGCAAGCAGGGTGTCTCTTGGAATGGGCTTCCACTGTACCAGCGACACCTCGGTCCGACACGCACTTCGCTGGGCTCTCAGGCCCGTGGCCACGCCGTGCAGGGGCACTCCGACACCCTCCCTGGGCGAGTATGGGACAGGCTGCTGGACCCGGGAACGAACAGCGTCCCTCGCGTTGCCCAGTGATCTCAAGTGGCCTCGCCCGAGGCGAAACTACGGCGCCTGCGGCTCATGCAGGCTGTGCGCAGCCGGCCGCGCCCCGCTATCGCTGAACATATGTGGCTCGCATTGTTTCAGGTCGACCACGGTCCATTTCGGACCCTCCTTAGGGCCACTCGGGGCGCGCTCGGGGCCTTCCGAGAGCATCCTGGGACCCTCCCTAGGGCTGTCGGGGCGGCCTCGAGTGCCATCGTGGAGGCGTCTTGCGGCTTCTTGTGGGGATCTCAAGCCGTGTGATGGGCTTCTTGGCCCCTGCTCGCGGGACGATCTTACTCTTGGACCCTATCTTGGGCTGTCTTGGGCCCGTCTGGGGAGCATCTGAAGCCGTGTGGAGGAGGACCCCCCGAGACACACGAGAATCCGAAAGGCGAGAACATTCAACATGCTATGCCCCTCTCTGTATAAATTTAGGTATGTACGTATATGTGCATGCATGCATGCATGCAAGTATGTAGGTATGCATGTCTGCATGTCTGTATGTGAATATGTATGCTTATATGTAGGTTTCTAGATACACGTGCATGTATGAACACATGAATGATTGTTTGTTTATAGATGTGCATTCATGAATGCATGTACGCATGTACATATGCATGTACATGTGTGTGTGAACAGTCATGCATTCATGTATGCATGCATGGACGCCCGCACGCACGCCGCACACATGTACGTATGTAACTGTGTATGAACGTATGTATGTTTGTATGTCTGCATGCCTGCATGTATATATGCATATATGTATGTATGGATGTGTGTACGCATGCATGCCCGTATGCATGTATGCATGTATGTGCACCTCGATATATGTATGCATGGTGCATACATGCATGCATGCATGTATGTGTGCAGATATGTATGTATGCATACTACACATATGTGTATACATAAAAAAAAGGTTCTCTCACACTGTAGTGATTTGGGCATCGGAGGGTGCCGACGGCATGAAAGCCATCTTCATCATCACCAGTCACAATCCATCCCTGTCAGATATACGTCCCCTTTGAAAGTTTGAGGGGCCTTGCCCACTGACGGGGCAACACTTGCCCGCTGAGGCGGGCATTTTTTTCCCGAGCCATCGCGGGAGTCGGAGTGAGGCACATAATCCATCAACACTGTATTCAGATGCCGTCAATATTTGTATACCTTCACCCAGATGTCGCCCCTTTTCCGGGCAAAGCATCGAACGCCTCAAACGACACCCCCCGTACTTAAGCCACACAAGCCTCGGACCACCCTGGAAATTCAAGAGTGTCTCGGCGGCGAACGACGGGGCGAATTGAAAAGGAGAAGGCCTTCTCAGAATGCGTCGGGGCTTCTCAGAAACTCTCGCGCATTCTGAAAGAAGCTTTCTGTGTCTCCAGGGAAGGCCTAGACAACTTCTCGGGAGGCCAGGGGGACTTCTGAGTCTTCTGAGAAGGACTCCTCCTTATCACTTCAGGGGAACGAAGCATCACATAAACACAAAAACTCGGAGATCCGCGCGGACCTTCGAGTTCTTTTGTTTCTGTGACTCCTCGTTCCCTTACACTTCCGCCCCCTTCGCTCGCCACCGCCGAGAACCTCCAGCTCTGCTCGCCCACGCGGCGCCCACAATGGAGTGAGGACAATCGGGAGCCGCCCCCACGGCTGTAGGGGGTACGGGCTGCAGGGCGCCCGCCGCGACAGCAGGGGCCTGAGGACCCAACCTCCCCACCCCCCCGGCGAGAGGGACGAATTGCGGGGCGTCTCTGCGCTTGCGTCTTTTCCCAGCCGTGCTGTGGTGCTGGGTCTTGCTTTGACTCAGCAGCTCCCGGTGTCCTCCGCCTCGCCCCTCTCCTCCCTCGCCTCCTTCCTCATCACCTGCACCCGCACCAGCACCATCACCATCACCATCGCCATCACCATCATCAGTATCATCATCTTCCGCATCATCATCATCACCACCCGCATCATCACCATCACCATCACCATCACCATCACCATCACCGTCATCATCTCCATCATCATCAACTCATAATCAGCATCCGCATCATCATCGTCGTCCTCATCATCACCATCATGAACAACACCATCAGTATCATCATATCACCATATTCAACATCATATGCATTTCATAGTCATCATCATCGCCATCATGTTCGTCACAAGTACCATCATCATCACCACCATCATCATATCCATCATCACCATCAGCATCATCATCTTCATCGCCGTTATCACCATCATCGTTGTCATCGTCATCGCCATCATCAGCATCGTCATCCTCATCATCATCATTATCATCATCGTCCTCATCACCACCACCATGATGATGCTGATGCTGATCATCGTCGTCCGTGCAATCATATTCGCATCCTCGTCAACAACGTCACCAACGATGACAGCATCAACAGCAGCATCAACGCCAACATTCACATCATCCTCACCAACATCGTAACCAACATCAACACCACCATCACACGTTTCGTGGCCGCATGAGAATCTCCACCAGAAGCTTCAGTGGCGGCGACCGCATGAATTCCTGCCTCTCATCCGGCACACCTCTTTCACGTTCCTGGCCCCATAGGGATCTCCACCGAAAGCTACCATGGCGGTCTTCGCATGCGCTCCCGCCTCTCATCTCGGCACGCTCCTCACCCGCTCCGTGGCTCCACGCTCTGTCCGCCACGTCTAGCCAGGCACCCTACGGCGGGGGGAGCGAGCCTGCAGGCGGACAAAGGCCCGCCACGGCACAGGGAGCTCCACGAATGCCTCTATGCGCGCGGTGTTCGCATGCGCTCCGACGCCTCCGACTTCGGCACGCCCCTCGCACACCTCCGTGTCGTGGGCCTCCGGCGGCCTCCGGTGTCGCCACGCCCCTCGCGCGCTGCGCGGCCCCAGGAGAAAAGTTTTACCGCAGGCCCCAGTGGCGGCGTTCGCGAGGCGCCGCCCCGCCATGTGCTGGTGCACCCCGCGCAGGCTCCCTGGCCCCAGCCGGAGCCCACCGAAGACCCACAGTGGCGGTGTCCCCCCAGCATTATCAATCATATGTTTGCAGCGTTCTCGCGCATGTCGTGGCCCAGGCCCAGTGTGGAGCTCAGGATAAGGACCTGGTGGCAGCGCCCGCCTGTGGCACCTGCCACAATTTCACACACACACACACACACGCACACGCACACGCACACGCACACGCACGCACGCACGCACGCACGCACGCACGCACGCACGCACGCACGCACGCACGCACGCACGCACGCACGCACGCACGCACGCACCCACGCACGCACGCACGCACGCACGCACGCACGCACGCACGCACGCACGCACGCACGCACGCACGCACACACACACACACACGCACACACACACACACAAACACACACACACACACACACACACACACACACACACACACACCGCACGCACTTCGTGGCCCCACAGGAGGCTCCACCGAAGACCCCAGTGGCTGCGCCCGCATGCGTTCATTTCACTTGCCTTGCGGGACTCGCAGCGACGTATGGTTGGTTCCTTCGCCAAGATAATTTCCCCCGCGGCTACATCTGGCCGCCCCCGCTCGGAGCACCCGCCGCACAAGCCGACGGACTCGCGGTGATCCCCATAGGATCGACCGAAACAGCGAAGTCTTCTCGAGATGCTGTCGCTGTTTCGACCATTCGTGGCACATGCTGAAGGTACGCAGTAATGGTCCACGCCTCAAAAGCGCTTTCCAACATGCGCCACAGCATTCCGACAGTGTCTTGCGGTGCCCTGTCACATGTACGGCCATCTGTGCACTCTGGAGACCATTGCGTGTGACGTCCGAATGAGCGCCTACATCGGGATGTGTCATTGCAACGGTCCACGTTCCCCGTCCTCGGCCTGCGTCCTCTTTCTCTCGGTCTCGATGTGTTTGCCCGCCACCCACCAAACCACGTCAACCGAACCCGAAGGCCCAAATTTACCCTCGATTTCCAGTGTGGGGGGGTCGGGCAACATTGAAAACACACTGGTGCGGACCGGTGCCCTACCAGGTCTTCCCAAGTAGCCGAAAGGAACGCCTCGAACACTGCGCTGACCCACCCTGTGCAATCCAATGCAAAATTGTCCTAGAACTTCGAATCGGACAGCGAAACATTCATGCCGTAACACGGAGGTTCTAACTTACAAGCGCGTCCCGTGCTGCGCCAGGGTGTTGTGCCCTCTGGGTTCGCTTCTTACTGGACGCTCTAGCGGCACCTGGCGTTCCTACCTCTTGGGGCTTGGCCGAGAACTACTCGTTTTGTATGATGTACTTCATGCTGCTTGGGCAACCTGTGAATTTCCGACTGTTCCCCAGCCTGGTTTGGCACTCGCCCCAAGGCCTGAACAACAGCAACATGTCCCACAGAAGCCCACTACGGCGAGGTTTCAAGCACAACGCGTCAAACAATTCGAGCGCTCATGACTGCAACTTTGTCTGAGCATTCCTTGCATGGAAACGCCATTTCCCCGCAGAGACAGAAAAAAAGAGAGTGAGAGAGAGTGAGAGAGCGGACGCGAGGCAGCGCAACGAATATGCGGGTGCACACAGGACGAGCGCTGCTCATCCCCGTTCCTCCACTCATCTCCATTGCCTGGTCTCAGGGAGCACCCAAGGCAGTGCCTTCTCGTCCAGCTGCGCATCGCGGTCGGCGATGGTCTAGGGCAACCCATGAGATGGGAGGCGGAACCATTCATGGCAAAGCTTTGTGCAACTATTCATTCACCACTGTATTGACCAACGTAGATGTCAAGCAACGGACAACTTGCGGGACGATGACGGTTGCGAGACGGAGGAGAAAACAAGGAGGAAGAGGGAGAGGATGCTACTTAATACGAGCATGGTATTGTGTTTCCTAGTGCTTGCCAGACAAAATCCAACTAGATCTTCACACCGTGCACATACTGCCCTAGTCACGGTGAGCGTGCAGAGCCTGTGCGCACGTCGTGGCCCAGCGATACCACGGCGAACTCCTGAGTTACGGCGCCTCCACCATTCGAAGCCGCTGGCCGTGATGACTCCTGTCCTCGACTAGCCGATTCTCGCACGCCAGAGCTCCCAAGAGAAACTGTGGACATCTCGTGGGAAAGTGCAACGGGCTGCAAAAGGCAACCTAGATGCATCTGGGTTTATGGTTCCGGGAATGCCGCCGCTTGCGGTCGGCTGGGTTCCTGGTCCTGCGTTTCCGGCTTCCGTTTTTGTCTCCATCCCTGTTTTGGTCGTGCCCCCAGTTGAACAAAGCAAGTGTTGTCCTTGTCTGTCTCTTCACCCTCCATCCTGCATTTTCATCTCCTCTTGTGTCTTACCCTGACCTCTCCTCTCTTCTCTTCTCCTCTTGTCTCTTTGCACTCGCTCTACTATGTGTTCCTCTCTGTCCTCAACTGTTTTGTCTCTCCCCTTCTGTCCCATCCTTCATCCCGCGTCTATCTGTTCCAGCTTCCCCTGGAAGCTGCCAAACAGACAACCCTCGCTATCCAGCGGGGTGCCGCCCCATGGACACTGACCTCGCATCCCTGGGTGTTGCCAAACTTGAGGCTGTACCAGCTTCTGGCTTTCGGGAATCTGGCGAAGTGGCGCGCTACGGAGTGGCTAACGTCTGGGGTTGATTTGGTGCGACAGTGGGCACCATTCTCCCGAACACCTTCTGGTGTTGCCGTCGCTTTGAATGAAGTAATTCGTACTCGTCCTCTCCTTCGCCCACGCCCCTTCTCCCTCGACATGTTCGCATCTGGAGGGGAGGTGCGAGTGGACACCAGCGCGACAGTGCACTTCAGGGAGGCAAGCTTGAAACCACTTGACATAGGTACTGGCCATCGCTCGGACGTCCATTCCCAGTGTTTTTTTTTCGGTTTCGTGCGTGGTTTTTTCGCCAGATGTTCAAGGATGCTCCTCGATGGTCCTCGCCGAAGGAACAATGCACACGTCCGAGCGATGCATGGAGCTTGAAACCACTTGACATAGGTAGGAACATCGTACACTCGCACGCTATCGCCATATACGGGGAGCGAGGGACCAGCGCCAAGGACAAGGGGAGTGAGACGCGGGACACGCGCCCACGGCGAACACAGATCGCCAACGGCCTCGGATCCGGGCAGATGGAGACGAACGGGGAAGAGGAGGAGGAGGAGGAGGAGGAAGAGGAGGAGGAAAAAGAGGAGGAGGAAGAGGAGGAGGAGGAGGAGGAGGAGGAGTAGGAGGAGAAGGAGGAGGAGGAGGAGGAGGAGGAGGAGAAGGAGGAGAGAGGGGGGATGCGAACAACGTGTCTCTACAACCCCCCTGGGTGCTCTCAACCCGCATCCGTCTTCACCTTCCGAGCTGCTCAGGGCTCCGTCGGGTGGCGTTCTGCGCGACCCAGCAACAGGCTCCGACCACGACCCACGTGGAGCCTCGCCCTCCGGAGCCAAACGCAGAGCTCCCAAACTTTTCCGACCTCCTGGGGGCTCCAGTGGGACGGCGTCCGACGGTGGCCGCAATGGGATCTTGTCTTCTAGGGTGCTGCCAACAGTAAACTGGCGTGCCTCAGGGTGTGGGCCCATGGGAGGCTCGGCAGAGCTGCGCCAGACGAGGACGCACACAGCCAACTCTGCTCCCCCCTTATGAGAGCTGCCACACATCCACACGGCAGCGCACTTCGCAGGCGCGGCGAAGGACAAACGGACGTGCCGATGGAGGCAAAACGAAGGCACCGCCGACTCGAACACAGCATCAGCTGACTCTTCTCCCCCTGCGGGGCCGAGGGCTTGCAGAGGCTCTCTCTCTCTCTCTCGCGATCTCGAGACGTTCGCTCACTGGCTGCCTTCAGCGTCACGATCTTGGAGTCCATGACGCGGACGTCGTCCAGTCCGCTGCGCCACTGCTGGTACAGCTTCTCCTGGGGAACAGAATAGAGGCGAGCCATGGCCCTTTGCGTGAGAGGCAACGATCGGGGGGGGGGCTGGCATAGGGGGGGATGCATCGACCTGGAATCAGCGATACATCGCCGATAGATCGGCGATAGGCCTCCGATAATGAATCCGCACCTTCCTGGGCAGGTTGGGGCTATCGGGCCCCTATCGGCGATCAATGGGCGATTGGGGGTCGATGCATCCCCCCCTATGCCTATCCCCCCCTACAGTGCGGGCGCGGCCGCAAGAAACCCTCGCAAGAAACCCAACCCTGAGAACCCGTGCGCGAGGTGCACCTGAGGGGAAACCTGGAGCACCCTGAACGCAGCAGCTCCTTCAACGGCCGAGGGAAGTCAACGCGCAGCGCGGGGAACAAAGAAACCCAGGATACCCTGACGAAAAGTAGATGGTTTCTTGATGCGCGCCCCCACTGTATTGCTGCCCCCGATTGCGGCACCTTGGACCTGACTCGGTGGCCCGGGGACCGAGGCCCTTCCCTCGCGGTCCCTCATGGCCCGCTGCGGGCCTCCTGCGGGCCACGCCCCCGCGGCCGGCAGGGTCACGGGCACCCGGCCACGAAGCCACGCTCCGCGGGCCAGTAGGCCAACGACCACGCGGCACCTGCCGCCAACCACTGGCCACAATCCTCCTCCTCCTCCTCGGCCTCCTCCTCCTGCTCCTCCTCCCCTCATCGTCCTCCTGTTCGTCGTCGTCGTCCTCCTCCTCCTCCTCCTCCTCCTCATCGTCCTCCTGTTCCTCCTCCTCCTCCTCCTCCACATCCTCCCCTCATCACCATCCTCCCGTTCCTCTTCCTCCTCCTCCTCCTCCTCCTCCTGATCCTCTTACGCATCCTCCTCCTCCTCCTCCTCCTCCTCCTCCTCCTCCTCCTCCCCCTCCTCCTACGACTGCTGAACAGGCTGCAAGGCGTAGAATACGGGCCTCAGAGCAAGGGCATCGCCCCACAGACCGAGGGTCCCGAGCCACGTCTCACAGGCTGGCGGAGTTTCATTGGCCAGGGGCCACCGCAGACAAAACGCGGCATGTGCAAGCGGGAACTCCCTTCGCATGGTTTCCCTTGCGCGGGCGTAGACGTACGGGACTCGGAACGCTTGTGCAACTGGCACACCCTATATTGTAGCCGTTATCATGCCACGGGGCAACTACGCATGTATCAAGGCCTGGCTTCGCCAGGCATTACCGAATGCACGTATGCAACTACATTGCTACCTTGATGACCCTGAGCATGTGTTCGGGTATGCTACTACTTGGATGAATCCGAACATAACTACGATAACTGCAACGCCTGCTGAAATCTGGGGTGGGGCGATCCGGGCCTTCCACCCAACCATCCCCTCCCCTCACCTGCTCCCTCCCCCGCCCAGAACGCGAGACGTGGATATGCGTGGCAGCTGAACTGTCACGTTGATGCAGACTGTGGGCCGCCTTGGAACAACAATAGTGGTGCAATCCCACCAGCCCTCTGGGCGTAGGTGGTCTAGAGCAGATCCTCTTCCACCCCTCCCTCTTCCCCCTTGGGGAGGGGTTTACCCCTCCCCCTACCCCCTCCCCTGGACCTGGACGGAGGGGTTCGCGAGCGGTCGGACGGCTCTTTTGGCCCCAAGATGGCTCCAAGAGCGCCTCAGCGAGCCCAAGATGAGCTCCCAGATGGCTCAAGATAGCACAAGATCGCTCGAGATGGCTCCCAAGATGGTTCCAAGAGGCCCAGAGACGGCCCCAAGACGGCTCCAAGTGGCCAAAGAGCTCCCCAAGGAGGCCCCGAAGAGGCCGAACTCGTCCCAAAACCTTTGGGACATCAATGTTTTTGGCTTTCTCCCCGTTTCGCTCCCGATGGCCATCCAAGGCCTCAAGATGGCTCCAAGATGGCCCAAGAGGGCCCCACAAGCGGCCCAAGAGAGCCCCAAGACGGCCCCAAGAGCGCGCAATAGCGCTCCAAGAGCGCCCCAAGAGCTCCCCAAGAGGCGATGTTTGGAGCTCCTGAGGGGGGAGGCTAATTAGGGAGCCCTTCGTTGATCGATCTCCTCCAAGATGGGCCCAAGAGCGCCCCAAGAGCGCCCCTACAGCCCCCAAGAGCGCCCCAAGAGCGCCCCAAGAGGCGCCCAGGCGGCCCCAAGAGGCGCCCAAGAGGCCTCCAAGAGGCTCCCAAGAGACCCCCAAGAAGCCTCAAGAGGATCTCCGAAATGCATTTAAGACGCTTCTGGCTCTTCGGTTCGCCGTCCTCTTCAATGTTTCATCCCCCTCTTCCTCCTCCTCCTTATACTCTTCTCCTCCTCTCTTCCCTTCCGTCTCTGTCTTCCTCCTTTCTTCCTCCTCGTTTCTCTCCCTCCTCCATCCTCCTTTCATTCTCCTACTCATTCCTACTAATTTCCGCCTCCTTCCTCTCACCCCTCACATCGACGAGGGATTTCCTTCTCCATCCTCCCCCTCTTGGGGTACGTGACAGCTTCCCCCGCCCTTTGTTATTCTGCATGCTCCCCGACTTCCCTGATCACCTCAACTCCCCTGGGCATCGTTTCTGGATGGGCTGGTGGGGATACTTTTTTTGATTTGCGGCCCGCAAGGAGAAGTCCAGAGGGCGGTATGACCGAGGCTGGGGCACAGCGCAAGATAATTGGCGCGAGAACGCGCGAAATGCACCTGCAAAACAAATAAGGAAGAGGGGCGGCCACCGGCTGGTGGGGATATGCGAAGCGTCAACAATTCTGCCTGGTCAGAATCTGCTTGACTGTGTTCAGATCTCTGGCCACTCGTGATTCAAGAGCAAGCCCAGGCTTGGTCTTGTCAAGAACATGGCCATTCGCAACCCCAGGTCGAAGGACCTGACAGCAAACATCGGACCGCACTATCTGTCGCTGCGTAACTGTCCACGCACGGAATCAACTACACCTGTCACTACTGCCGCGCTCGGCAAACGCAATCTGGAATTCGTCAAGATACACGCGGGGCCGCAGCTTAAGCCTGGCAAGCAAACCTTGGTAGCAGAGAAGCGCAATGCCGTCCTGGACTATCGCCTTCCGCTCGTCCTGATGGGGCGGGGTCAACACTGTTCCCAGAGCGCGGTGAGGAAAATCGTCACGACTGAAGGGGCCCTGGGACACACAAATAGATATACACACAAATAACAGGATTTCCTATATTTTCCCATATTTGCTGTATGTTCGTCTTCCACCCACTTCCCATATTTGCGCATATTTTCCGGGGAATCGACGATTAATTGTGTCTGTGTTTTTTTTGCCTCCTGAACGACGGGGGAGTCGCGTTTGCTTCCTCGATGCTTATTCGCCGTCGGATGCGGTTCCATGAGATGGCGGATCTTGAAATCGCAGAAACAACGATATGCCATGCAGCTGTGGAAGGGTCGCCAACATCGGATCAACAACACATTGGCGCATATGGGCAGACAATATGGCAACACGGGCATCAACACAATGAACAAACACCGCAACACCAATAACGGCAGCCTGAGCAAGACACGGCAAATCAACGTGTAAAAGGCAACCATCGAATAAGAACCACACTCTTGCAATCTTATCTCCCCATCCATGGCTCTTGCAAAGGCCGACTCGCCTTCCTCTTAGCATCCTGAAGCCCAACATCGTGGTGGAAGAAAACGTCCGTTCAGATGTATGGACCCGGACAGAAGAGCTTTCTTCCTTGACCCTGGCTCGCCCGAACGCCCATTCGCGCAACAATCATGAAGGAACACGAACCCCAAATTCGCCGGTGCAATGGGCCACAGCCTGTCAGATCCTCTGGCTCGTGTCCCCCCCGGCTGCCCCGAGACCCTGGGAACATTCCTGATCTTTTTTTTGCCTTCATCGAGGATGGACAGACCCCCCTTTAGTAAAACGTGGTTTAGTGAAAACGACCTGAGGCCCAAACCTGGCGGGCGCAAGCCTGGAAAATAATGGCCGCGGCGCCCTCTCGAGAACCGAAAACGGACAATTGACGAATCGACGTGTCTCTGTTGGGGGTTCTGTCCGCCCCCGACTTCAGCCGAGATCGTGGGATTACTCCGGTTCACCTCAACCATCTCTGAGTGTCCTGGAGCACCTAAGAACACGATGGATCCGCATTCTCGAGGTCAAGCTCCAACGTGGAAAAGTATGGGCCCGCGTTGCCGAGGCCACGGCCCCTTTCAAAAACTACGGATCCAAACAACACCACTCGTGAAACAAATGGGTCAGCGTTCCCGAAGCCACGATCCGTTGTAACAGCGGATCCGCGCTCCCGAGGCGGCGATCCGCTGCCAACACCCGTGGGCACGTGATTTTGAAGCCGTGATCCCTCGTAGGCAGTGAAGGATCCGCGCTCCCGAAGCCACGAACCCGCGGAGCAAGAGCAATAGATCTGCGATCCCGCCGCCACGATCCCTCGAGGACACCACATGCGGATCCGCGCTCCCCAGGCCATGATCCCTCGTGACACAACTCCGCCACTTTGCCTTAAACACGTAGCGGCGTGCCCAAAAACTCCAACAGAGGGACTGTCATCTTGTTGTCGGCTTGTAGGATTATTGAGGTCCACGACCCCCGTGTGTCAAGAACATCTGGACTACTGGAATTGCCGGCGCGCGCAACGCGAGCTTCAGGGAAGCAACACTATTCCGTGGCTTGTGGGCTTCCAGGGGCACACAGCTGACCCCAAATCGCGACAAGTTGGCCGACCCCTCACGCATTTCGTTTGCGCTCACGACGGCGCAAGCGAGCCTCATCTCGGCACACCGCTCACGCAATTCGTGCCCCATGGGCCCCAAGGGCTCGATGCTTGCGCCTCGAGGCGGCTGAAAGGATCCTTATTTCGGCGCACCCCTGACACACTTTGTGTACCTTGGACCTTCAGCGTCTCTCCGCTGGCCTCCAGCGACGGCTAAATGGATCCTCATCTCGGTATACCTCTCACGCACTCCGTGCCTTATGGAGCCAAGATCCGCTCAGCTGCCCTTGCAAGACGGCTGCATGCTGCTTCATTTCGGCACACCCCTCGCGCACTTCGTGCCCCATGTATCTTCAGGGACGGTCACCAATTCTCCTTCGAGCCTCTTTTCGGCACACCCCTCGCGCAACATTTCGGCCACATGGGCCCGCCATAGGCGCTCAGCTCACAGACGGCTGAGTGAGGCCTCGTCTCGGCGCACACCTCACGCATTTGGTGCCCCATGCAATCCCAACGAGCATCTCTTAGCCCCCAAAACCATATGGCCCCTGGAATGACGCCGAGACGGCCCCGGGAATAACTACAGCGAACGGTGCCGACTCTCGTCGAAACCATACAATGAACCTGGGGTGCAGAATGCCTAACTGCAGCACTATTTCCTTGCGGCCCCGCGCGTGCGGGAACTCCCTATCGATGCAGTCCCTGAACACAGATGAGGGTGGGCCTACCAAGGCTACACAGGAACACTGTGTTGGACATGTCCTAGCTGAGTTTAGGAAGTGCTGCTCAGGATGTTACGGTTCCTCTTTCGGTTCCCTTGTGGGAATGCCGTTGGTGGCGCGATCGACGATACCATTCGGTTGCTCTGTGGTCATTTGCGCCCAGGATGCCCCCATGACTCACCCAAGCGGCCCCGCGAGGTCCCGAGTCGCCCACGAGGGTTCCAAGAGGTCACGACGTTTTTTTCACAACCATCCTGTGGTAGTGGGTCGTCGTTTTGAACCGACACCGTCCCGCGTCCTCATCCTTCCTCCGCATTCTCCCCTCGCACATCCCGTCCGTGTTTCTGTCCTCCGCATGTCCTCATCACCATCACCATTGCAATACTAGTGCTCGCCCTCATCATGACCAGCAGCAGCATCATCATCATCAACAGCATCAGCCGCATCATCACCACCACCACCATCATCATGATCAGCATCATCAACACCATCCGCATTATCACCGTCATCATCAGCAGTATCATCATCATCACCACCACCACCATCATCATCATCATCATCATCATCATCGTCGTCCTCGTCAACATCTTCGTCACCATCATTGCCACACCACCACCGCAACCATCACTATCATCGTCACCACATCCACCATCATCATCACCACCATCATAACCACCATCATCAGCATCATCACCATCGCCACCACCTTCGTCGTCGTCATCATCGTCATCATCAGATTCATCACTACCATCACCAGCACCATCAACATCAATATCACCAACACTACCAACGTTAGAATCGGCATCGCCACCACCATCATCATCAATCTCCGTCGTCATCAAAATTGTCATCATGATCCTGGCCAACATCAACCCTAGGCCACCACGCCCATGTCGGTACACCTCTCACACGTTCAATGGCCCCATGTGGAGCTCCGCCGAAGGCCCCCGAAAGGCCACAGTAAGGTCAGCATGGCGCACCCGCACCCGATTCGGCACACCCCTCACACGTCTCGTGGCTCCAAAGTGAGCTTCACCGAAGGTCCCAGCGGTAAGGTCCGCATGGAGCGCCCGCACCCGATTTGGGCCCGATTCGACACACCCTTTTCACGCTTCGTGGCCCCAGAGGGAGCTCCACCGATGGGGCCCAGCGGTGAAGTCCGCATGGGGTACCCGCACCCGATTCGGCGCACCTCGCACACGTTTCGTAGGGAGAGCTCCCCTTCCTTCGTCCCGCCTCCTTCGCTGGGGTAGATTGATCTACTGGGCACTCTGTACGTGGGACTTGGACATGTGGACGCGAGGCGCCACGTGCTACACCTCTCTGGGCCCTGAGGCAGAGACCTATCACATGTTACGGCCGTGCCGAGTCTGCGGAACGGCGTGTCGCATATTACGTCGCTCCGCAGTTGAGGGGCAATGAGTGTCGCTTTGCACAGGGTGCTGCCCTAGCACGGCGGCGGAACTTGCCGCAAGCACCTGGACACTCCTACACCGAACATGGCTCCACAGCGGGGAATGCGGATCCGCCCCCCCACAGTCGGACCCGCCCAGGATCTCAGTGGGATCCGCGAGTCTGCCGCCCACCGTCGGGCCCAACGTTGTCACATCGCAGGCGGACGCTCAGCTCGGTCGAAGCGGCAAACCAAGCTAAGGGATCGCGAGTTGAGCACGAGAAGCTAATGCAATGCAACATCAGAGGCATCCGGGACTGACCAGGATCAGCGGCTGCGCAGAGCGGTCTTGCCAGGGATGCAAGAGCGTGTGGTCGACCGAGCGAGGCTCAAGGGGGACCAGGTCTGGAGATCGCTGGGCGCAACATGCACAGCGCCGATGCAACGGTCGTCGTACGAGGCCTGGGTCAGCTCTCCTGCTCGACGAGAGCCGGGCACGGAAGCTGACTTTGTCGACGCTCGGCCTGCTCGCCGTCGCGGGCGAGCGAGCCACACCACGGCGGGCTCGTGTCGTGACGACCTGCGCGTCTGCTTCTGACACCTCGGGGGTCGCTCAACCTGGACCGAGCGGCCGTCCCCGCAACGTCAGATCCTTCGACATCGACCGACTCTGGGTCGCCGGGTCTCAGCGTGGTACGCTGGCGGCGGGGTTGCCGCCGGCCGGCACGACGCGAACCTGCCGTGCCGCCACCGGGGTGCCAGGGCCAGCGCAGCGCACGGCAAGGGCGGGCGGCGGTCGGCGTGGGTCGCCGGGCAACACGAGGCGCGCGCCCGACAGGACGGCGGGCCTCCTCTTCCCTCCTCCTCCTCCTCCTCCTCCTCCTCCTCCTCCTCCTCCTCCTCCTCCCTCCTCCCTCCTCCTCCTGCTCCTGCTCCTCCTCCCTCCTCCTCCTGCTCCTGCTCCTCCTCCTCCTCCTCCCTCCTCCCTCCTCCTCCTCGCGGGCCGGAGCGGAGGCACGGGGGGGGTTGCGGAGAGGAAGGCGGGCGGAGGAAAGAAGATGAGGTCGAAGCCGCCGCCGCGTGCGGGTGCGAGGCAAGGGCCGCGACGCGGCGGCGGACCAGTGAGGTCCGCAGCACCCGCGTGCGATTGTGCTGCACCAACTCGGCACTTGCCTCCACTTTTTTTTCGCTCGGGGGGCGCAGCGTGCCCCCCACGCTCGCCTGTTGCTCCAGCGTTTGACCTCTTCCAGATGAGACCTACGACCTCCACACTGCTCATGTCTGGCCCCATGCATGCCTGCTCCTCCCAGGTCCCCGCTCGCCGCTCGCCCCCTCCTCGCGCCGCTTCTTCAGCTCGTAGGCGCGAGCGGCCATCTTTTCTGTCCGCTGCTGTGGGGTCTCCTGTGGAACTCACGTGAAGAAAAACGACGGGCAGGAAAGTAGACCGAGAGCACAAGCGTAGGCGCGGAGACGGGACGGAACATGCGATGTGCTATCGGAGGTGGGAGGACACGTGAGGTGCAGGAGTGACATATAACCGCACAACCAAACATAACCGATTAGAGTTCGGGGCACCAGGGGTTTACTCTGGCATTGTGTACCTGCACCCAGCCTTCGGCAACGAATCTCGTTTAGCCGATCCCCATCCCCAAGGTCGTGGCCTGGGCCCCACTGGCCGATGTACCCGCCTGGATGGGGATCTCGTCTGCCCCCTTTTCTCCTCCCCCTCCTACTCCTCCTCCTCCTCCTTCTCGTCGTCGTCGTCGTCGTCGTCCTCCTCCTCCTCCCCCTCGCCCTGCTCATCCTCCTCCTCCTCCTCCTCAAGTTTCGAAGGGCAGATCCCCTAACTGGGGCGGTGGGACTGTGGGGCTCGGGAGGGGGATGGGGATTGGGATCGGTTGCCCACCAGTCGGACGGAACAGGTAGAA